TTTACATTTTATACGATATTTTAATATTAAGGAAGTTATTTTATTAATTTTAAGCATTATTTAAAATTAATATCGTGTCAAATAAAGTGAAGTTGTATCCTTTTTTTTTAATATAGACATAATAAAAAAATAATAAAAAACTTGTGTGTCGGTTCCGACGCACGAATGGAGTTTACTCCTTGAGTACGGTTGTCTTGGCCAGGGGTGACAAACCTTTATGGAGCAACGTGTCATTTTTTCTGTTGAAATGCTTAACGAGGTACAGACGTGCCGTCAAATAATTCTGACTTTTGATTATTGAGAAAATAATAAAACTAAATACTAACAACTCAAAATTCTTTATTTACTACGTAAAAATAAATTTTTGTTTTTGTACTGTTAATAAAATTTTTTTGGTTAAAACGGTAATTAAAATTTAAAAAAATAACATTGGAAAACTTCTGTTTTTTAAAATTCATTGAAAATTTGTATTTAGGTTTATAAACAAAAACCTTGGTGTGCTCCCCTCCTCGCCCGCACTACAACCAATCCTCCGTTTATTAGTAATTTTTCCCAAGTGAACTTTGTTTTTTTTGAATTATAAAAAAAACCCCCTTTTCCCATCGGTGGCGTGCCCAAAATATTTCGGGGGCCCATTGGTTCGCCATCCTGGCCCGACAAACGGGGTAAAAAAAAAGCATCTCGTATAATACTGAAACTATGCATGTATTTTCTTTATTCTATTCACTTTTTTCATATTGATTCGGTAAAATAATATATATAAAAAATAATATACATCAATTATATTTTAAAAAACATATGTTACTCATAATACACAAGCTTTTTTTAAAGGGTTGTTTTACTTCCCTATTAATATCACTATGAATATCAATTCACTCCCCCGCCATTTTAATCACTTGAAAAGGGGCTTTTTAACAAAAAGTATGATACGTGATTTACGAATCGTGAACCATCCATCAATGGTTTTTATCATACCTGTCGTCCCCAGTGCTTTACCAGAAAAAAAATCCAAATTAAGCTCTGATTTTTTAAAAAATTTTACTAATTTCAATCCTTCACCTTTTTGAAATCAAATTTAAATCGCCCCTAAGGGGATGAGTGGAAGGGACATGGGTTTCTGTTTCTCCAGTTTAGAACCCCCCTGGATAATGCCCCCAATACCCTTTTTGGATATAATCTATAATGTCAGTAGCCCTTCCTGGGAAAAATTTTAAACCTGTTGCCGGGAAAAAAACAAAAAGGGGTTTTTCCTTGGGGGCTTTCCCCCCCCGCCATTTTCTCCTTCCCTTCTTTTCCACAATTCCCAAAAAGGTATTAAAAAAACATCCACCGAAATGTGGTGATTTCCGGTTTTTATAGTCAACTTTGTCAAAAATTAAGGGAGGAAATTTTCGCGAAAAAAAAACGGGTTTTCGACGCCAATTATGCTAAAAAACTAGTAAACGTAGTTAAAAAATTTTTTTTTTTTTAAAGGGGTTTGTTTTTAAAAAAAAACCAAATTACCCCATAGATAACAAATAACAGTTTTTTAAACAAAAATGTCCCGGGAAAAAAAATTTCCAAATTTTTTAAAAGGGGAAAAGACGAAAAACCAAACTTTTTTTTTTAAAACGATTATTTTTTTAAAACAATTTTCAATCTTTGGGCAAAACACCCAAAAAACAACATTTGAAACTTTTTAAAAAATTCCGTGTCATTATTTTTTTAAATAAAGGGGGAAATTATTAAATATTTAAAATTTTGGTATTTTTTTGTAAAACTCAAAAAAAAAGTTTGGGGGTTTTTTTAATTTTTTAAAAATTGATTTAAAAAACAAAAATATAAACTTTTTGGGACAAAATTTTGATAAAATTTTTTGAAAATCCTACCGGGAAAGATTGAAAAAAATTTTTTTAAAAAAAACCATCAATATTGACTCTTTTTAGAAAATCGTAAAAATACAAATTTCGTTTTTTTTAAAAAATTTATACCATTGTTTGGCCCCAAAAAAAGTGGAAACCTTTTTGGGTTCTGTAATTTAAATTTTTTTTGATTTCCAAAAAAAAAGATGCATTTTTTTAAAAAGAAGCAAAAATAAAAATCTTCCTTTTTTTCCTTGGACCAAAATTTGGGGCATCACAAAAGCGCGCCTTTAAAGCATTTTGTTAAAAACTTTTTAAAACTTCACTCATATTTTCATATTGAGGGCTTTATATGAAAATCGATCCTTAAGGAGCAAACTCTAACAATAAGCTTATCTAACAAAGTAATTTTGGAGTTAAAGAAATCTCGAATAAAATACTTGGCAATAAACTATTTGTTTATTAGTTTTCTCATCAGCAGTTTATATGAATCTCACATTATCACTTTCCTCTTCAGATTAAATATATTTTTTTCCAGAAAACTGGATAACATAGTGTTTGATTGGCCGCGGTAGCCTAGTGGTCAAGGTCACGCACTTTTAAATGGCGTGTCGTGGTCTCAAGCGTAGTACCACTGAAGACCCGCCGTGTAAGGGAGCCGATACACGTTAAATATGTCAAGGCTCAAACTTCCTCCCTTTGGTGTGGTGGGGAAGTTCGGAGAGGGCTGCGCCAGTTCAGGTGCCATCCTCGTCATTTGACTATGATTTAAAACTATGAGGTCATTTGCCAGCAGCGCTCATGCAGCTTTATAGTGCGACTATAATATAACTGTCACACATTCTTAGTTTTTTTGGTTGCTAACATATAAAAGCATAAATATTTTTGGTTGCTTAGCAAAAGTTCTTTATTAATCACTTATGATTTTTAAAAAAATTATTTCTTTTAAGCACATTTTGAATGTTAAAATCCTCCTACGTTAAATTGGCAACGGGGGTCAACAAACAAGCTGTGTCTGAATACATGAATCTATTAAGAAGATAGTGAATAGTTTTGATCACCTTAATTTTCATTCTCAAAAAAAAAAAGAGAGAGAGAGAGAAAGTATTAGTTACATTTTTTTAGAAAGTAGGATTTTTTCTGTTTTTACTATTTCTTAATTCAAAGCAATTGATAATCAGATTGCAATGAAATTTGTCATCTGATAAGACAACACACACACAACGCTCTTGCCAAACATCATTTGTGATATATTTAAAAAATTACCTTTTTTATTGCATTTTGCAACATTCGCTTTAGATTTTATTATTATTGATCTATATTTGTGAAGTGTTTTATTGTGGTTCTAAGAAAATACGAATGTATTTTACCCCTATATCTTTTTAAATAATCAAAGAAACATTAAATAAATACGACATTTCAAAGTTCAACATATCTTTAAATGACTTTTTACCGCATGATTTTTTTAAAGTTTACACGTGCGCTGCGCCACAATATAAGGCATCATTCTGTCCTTGATCAACTGAACAACTTAAATGCAACATCAGTTCAACGTATGTGTAGCTACTATCTTTTATTTACAAAAATATATATTCTTTACCCACTATTTTTGTAGAAAATCTTTGAAATAAAAGTTTACAAAAAGAATAAATATCGTTGGCCTAGGTAACAAAGTGCGTATCTCCATTGGGTGAGTGATTAACGTCGCTCTGTTCAACTACACGAGGGTTTTATGCGTATCTCCAAAAACAATTTGATATCCGAGTGCTACGCGCCAAACTATACAAATGACGATACACATGACGGCGTGATACAAATATCAAGGTAACGATATTGCTATATCACCCATCTTGACGAACATAAACAACAACTTGGCGTGTAGCACTCTGATATCAAATTAGAACCCCAGATGGAGTTACGCATTCTAATAATTAGGCCGACGATATGAAAATTATTTACTCGGATTTTCTTTTGAATACTTTTTACCTGTAATTTTTTGAATCACAAGTAAAAGATATAAAATATATTTTCAAAATTTCAGTCGAAATTAAAGTCATACTTTGGTTTTAATGAACGTTGAATTCTGAAGCAAGTGAGTATATTTATTAAAGAGGTCAAAAATTTCCAGTTACCTTTGATGTGTAAAAAGAATAGCTCTTTATGAATAAAATATTATAAAAGCTTAGTGCTAAAACTTTCAGAGAATTCCCCAAGTTTTAAATAAGATTTATCATCTATTGCATGAGTGAGTGAGAAAATATTAACGTCGCACTGTTCAGCTACACGAGGGCTTTTGGTGACGGACCTCGTGGCTGGCATGTCACGAGCTCAAGCCCAGTACCATTAAGACCCGACGTGTAGGGGAGCAATGCACGTTACATCTGTCAAGAGCTCAAACGTCCTCCCGTTGGTGTGGTGTGGTAGTTGGAGAGGGTGTGCCAGCTCAAGTGTCGTCTTGTCACTCGACAATGGTTCAAAATTACAAGGTCCGTCGCCAAAAGCCCTCATGTATATAGCTGAACAGTGCGTTGTTAATATCCTCTCACTCACTTGAAAGATTTGTCGTTTCCCTACATGGCGGATCTTCAGTGGTACTGAGCTCGAATTCATGAAACGCGCCAGCCACGAGTTCGTTACCGTGACCACTAGGATACCGCAGCCACAATAATCAGGATTTGATTTACTAAAAAACCCTTATGCTAAAACAATGGCGGTTGATGAAAGTTAAATTTGACTGAAAGATAAAGCCTTCAAGTGTTTTAAGATAAAAGATGGAAGAGTTACATAGAAAAACTAGTATTATCCACACTTGTGTTACAGATAGAGTTTCTAGATAGGGTAGTTCCACCGAGAATGGTTTGCTATGTAGCTTTAATGCAATATCCCGATTTAAATTATCTATTAATGTGTTTTTCAATTCCTACTGGTAATTCACATTCTCCCTATATATCTTGATCTATATATCTTGTTCAAATTTTCAATCGTTAATAAAATACTTTTTATTCATCCATTCAAGTTCAAATACATTTTTTTAAAATTGTAGTGGATGACACGTGATGTTAATGCAGTTTTCTCAATAATTTCATTAACAATTAATAATTAGTAACAAACAAAAATAATAGTCCAACACTATATATAAAAAGGAAAACCACTCGTTGTGTCCCTGTAGCACAATAAGTAGCACGTTGGACTTCTAATCCAAAAGTCGTGGGTTCGAGTCCCACCAGGGATGGCATGGTTCTGAGAATGTGATTTCCTTTTACAATACTATTTTATTGGGAATAATTGAATTAAGTTAATGAATAAGTAGTAACAAACAAAATAATAGCCCAACATCCTATATGGAAAGGAAAATGGAAAATTGCAAGGAAAATCGCTTTCTATTTTGCCTTGTTAATATTGTGATTCTGTCTTATGTATATACATATTTATATTAATTGTAACTATTTAATAAAAAGTAACTGAAAAAAAATTTTCTTTGTTGATCTAAGTAGGAATTGACTTAATTTTTTATATATATATTATTTGTTTAGTACTGATTTCGAAGGGAAAAAAGCATACAATTTTTTTTCTCTAAAACGAACCTATGAATCCAGGTTATTTTCAATAACAAGGAACATTTGCATTATTTTCTTTTTTCCCCTACATTTTTCTTTAAAAATTGTTTTTTTTTAATTCATTTTAATGAGAATTCTACTTTATTAATAAAGAAAAATGGATAAAAATTTCCTCTTCGCGGGTCACTGAATGTTTGTTAACGATGCACTTTAACCTCTTCAGAACCGGGCCATTTTCTACGAGACGTTCGCTAGGGACGGGGTGAATGCGTAAAGACTTGCCCTTCAGGACGGGGCGTTTTCGTCGTAAGCCCCAACAAGAAAAAAAGCATAAATAATAAAATTTCTCCCTAACGTCTAATTTTTGGGACCCTTTAGATTACTACATAGTTGTCTGTTACATTTAAAACTAGAATGGAATTTTCTTTTCCTTTAATTTATATGAAATTATATAAAAAAAATATATCACTTACATTGGAAAATAAATTTTGTAAGCGCTATTCAATTTTTTTCCAAAATTTTCATTGACGAAACATGACAAAGTTTATTTACAAAGAGAAATAGCAAAATTAAAATGAATACTGAGTGTGGAAAAACGGAAGCATGGAGAAACGTTAAGTCCTACATTGTATGATTTGCAAGCATAAAAAAAATGTTTGTTACGTTGTTTTTTTTTATATACACACGGTTTGTGTATATAACCCCTTTTTCACCCTTTTTGTTCATATTAAGGTTAGGAAAATGCTTTCAAAACAATAAAATAATCTGAAATCAAGATTTTTGAAATAAGAAAAGTACGCGAAATATATCCAAAAGCAAAAAAAACAGTAACAAAAACTGACGTTAAAACTCAAAACACTCTACACTGTTGAAAAAAAAAAAAAAGCATTAGAAAGTTATTAGAAACGCAAATTTTTTTTTATCAAGTGAAAAATTTTACGGATTTTTTTACATTTCGTTTTACCCCCCCCCCCGACTCACTGATTGCAAAAATATTAAAATCCACAGGCAGAATATAAACAAACGATGGTCGGGCTACTCAGCCACGTTCGTTTTCAATATAATGGACATAGGGTGTCATCGGTGGTCATTAAAAACGTTCACTGAAAAGTCATACTTGCATCCCCCGACCCTACCAGTCCCCAAAAATGCACATTTACCACCCCCCGAATGCATCCGTGAAGAATGCATATTTCCCTCCCGTCGCGAAGGTGTTAAGGCAAGATGGGTTTTGGAGGAATGCCAAAAGGGAAACCCCAAAAAGCTCCCCCGAAGAGAGTTTAGGCAAAAAAAGACCCCTCGGGAAGCAATCCCTCCACGTCATTTTTTTATTGAAAAAAAAAAAAGTCAAATTTACATTTTATAAACATTAAAAGACAGTAAAATGACAAAATAAAAATTTTAAAAAGGTGACCGCACTATATACATACATGTGCGTGAACGAAATCAAATATAAAAAACAAAATATAAATAAAAGTAATAAAAAAAAAATAAAAGAGATGGAAGAAAAATATAATTTCCATCTTTCTTACTAAATAAAACAGACCAAAAGAAAAAAAAGAGAAAGAAAGATAGGAAACAAAAACAATAAAAAATAATAATAAAATGTTTTTTGAATCATATTTTCTGTCATCGTATCAGTCTAGAATCATATTCATATTCATATTTTCACTTCCTGTTGATATTTTTTTTTTCCCCTTAATTTTCTTCAGTTTAAAAAACACCGGAAAAGGATTTTTTTTTTTCGAATATATTTTATTTTTTAAAAAGAAACAAAAAGGAAGGGCTGGGAAAAAAAAGCAAATAAATAAATAAAGAGAAAAAAAAAGGGGAAGAAATTATTGAAAACATCTTGTAGATTAGAGTCCAATCAATTGACAAAAACGACTCCTCTCGGTTTGGGGTCACCCTACACTCTCTCTCCCAACTTCCACCCCACGCCAATGTGAGAACGTTAAACCTCGACTTATTTTTTGGACGCCCCTTTTTGGGTAACCCCCGTTAATTTGTACCGTGCTTTTCCCCTTTTTAACTTTTCAAGATTTATAATTTTAAAATCTAGGGGTTTAAATTTTTTAGGGTTGAAAATTCTTTTAAACGGGTTTTCTTTTAAAAATTAAAATTTTAAGTTTGAACTTTTTAATAAAAAGAAAGGGGGCCGAAAAAATAAAAAATTTTTTAAACAAATTTTAAAAATCTAAGCGAAAAAATTTTAAAAATAAATTTTTTGGTTTTGGAGCTTTTTCTAAAAATTATGATGTTAAAAAATGGGTTAAAAGCACAATCAACCGGCCCCCAATTTTTTAATTTTTTCTTTTTTTTTTTTAAAAATTTTTAAAAATTTTTCAATTTTTTTAAAATTTTTTTAAAAGGTTTTTTTTTTTTTTTTTAAAAAATTAATTTATTTTTTTTATTAAAAAGCTACATTAAAGAAAAATTTTCTTTTTTTTTAAAAAGGTGAATTAAAAGTCATTTTTAAAAAGGTGGCCAAAAAAATTTTTATTTTTCAAAATTTTATATGTTAGATTTTAAAAAAGTTTTTTAATTTTTAATTTTAAAAAATTTTTTAAATAATCCCTTTTTGAACAAATTTTTTTTAAAAAAAACCTTTTGTTTTTTATAGATTAAAATTTTCCCCGGGCCCCCCAAGTTGATGAAAAAAAAAATCTAAAACAACCCAGGAAATTTAAAATGGGTTAAAATTTTGGGGTGACCCGCTCTTCAAAAAACGTGTTTTTTTTTTTCCCAAAATAAAAAGGGGGTTTTGGCCCGGTTTAATTTTTTTCTATAATAAGGCACCCTTACCGGACCCCAAAACTTCACATTATGCCAATGGAAGGACTTTAAGCCTCGAAATATTTAATGCACACGTGTCCTCCAATACATCGGGTCCTCAGTAGCACCAAAATTCGAATCCACAGCACCGGTTAAGAGTTCGTGAGTATAACTCAGTGCTTCTCAAAGTTTCAATATTTGCGACCCAATATTCAATCATAATTTTCATCGCGCCCCCTTTCCGAAAAATAACAATGCATTGAATTCAATAATACTATACTTTGACTCTAAAGCTACAATAAACCGACCATCCGGTATAGTGGTTAGTGACGCTGAATGCGGTGACGCAGGGTCCGAGTTCGAGTCCCGGGTAAGGCATGGATGTTTGTGTTGTAATCCTAGTCGCCCAACCGGTATAGTGGTTAGCGATGCTGACTACGGTGCCGTAGGGACTGGGTTCGAATCCCGGAGAAGACATGGATGTTTGTAAATGTATAGTGCCTTCGCGGCAGGGGGGTACTCTAAATAGCCGTCGAGCCGCAAGCCTCTTGTGTGGTTGGTGGAAAGGGTAGAGAGGTGAGAGGCCCCTGACCACCCCCAGGTGTCCTCCCTCTAAATTGGAATGGAAACGAGCCAAATCGTAACGACAGGCGTCACTTAGCCTTTTACCATGATGAATTTCGTGGACGTCGAACTGGCCTCTGCCGATCAGGTGGCATCAGTAACAACAACAAGCTTACTTCTATATAAGCCCCTTTGTGATGCACGCGGTTATAAATGTTCTCAATAAAAATAAAAAATGCTACAATACACTTGAACCTCTTAAGAATCTCATCGGTGTATATAAAGCTCTCGTTTAGCCAAAGCGTTCATTGCTCCGGACATACATATACGTCTTTCAGATGTACGATCTTTTCTGTGCACTGCACCCATAAAACTATTTCGAAGGCTTTGGAATACAATAAAAGAACCTTGGCAATGTTTGCGAAAGATTTACATAGTTTTATTCCTTTTCTTCCCTCCCCCCCATACATCGTGCATTTACTTGGAAAACGGTGCCATGGGAGAGTGAATCCCAAAATTTTTAATCGGCAGTTGAGGGATTGATTATAAACTGTACAAATTATTTTGATAAGTGTTAATTTTTGTATATAAGTTTATAAATGACAAGTCCATGTGATCATTGGTAATTATTAAACTTGTTCTTAACTTAAATATAGTTAAATTAATTATAAAATATAGATTGCGCAGTACTGATACATTTATATAAGTATATTATATCAGTGTAAATGTGTATTTTACTTTTTATTACTTCAGAATGTATTTTGTTTTTTTACTTTCAGAAAATTAATAATTTTCTACAATAATCTTTTTTTTTTTTTTTGACTTTTCAATTTGCTTGTGTCTTTCTCGTAGAATTATCACGCCCCTCCAGGGGGCGCGCCCCACATTTTGAGAAAAGCTAGTATAACTACTAGACTACCGCGGTCACGCAAAATTACAAGAACTGGCATAATAATCCTTCGTACTACTTCTGTGGAGTGAATTAATTACCAATCAAACCAGCTCAACACCGACTGTGTTTCAGCTAGTAATTCCTACATCAAATCTTTTTATGATAGACATATTGACCTACATAAAATGACATTGACGTGTCCCATCCCATCTGGGAACTAAACCATACTACACACACAAAGCGAAAATAAGCGGTACGTAATTAATACTCACACCATTATGCAGAAAAAAATAACTCATATTTCTTCATTAAATAATTGATTTCAATGTAAACAACTCATTTATTGGACCCGGAATTTTTTCAAGACAGAAATTGAAATCATAAATGTAGTTTATAAAAGTCTCTCTCTCTCATTAAAACATAATCAATTCAAATTACGTCCGA